TGTCTAGTTTCCTGTTCTTTGCTATCATATTGACTTTTAATTTTCAACTTCAAGTCAATGGCGCGATTGGCTTTAGTTGAGTCCGAAAACCCGTATTTTTTAAAAACGGGGATCTAATAACGTAGCGTGCGAGATAAGTTCATTATTTTCTATGTGTTTGAAAAGCAGAGATATTTCAGACAGATAAGCATTTATTAATGACTTAACGTTAAGTCTATAATTTGAATTTTTGCTTTGCACTGCCGGACGTGACTCTCCATTGTATTTACAGATAAATATATTTTTAAAACTGCCACGCTTTTTTCCGAACTTATTTCGCATGTTACGTCATTAAAGACTAGTAGAATTCGAATGACATGTACGGTTATATCCCAATCAAGAGGGGTCAATGTCACATTGTGTTGTAAAATTGCTAAAGAGGCTATTATTGCGTCTTTTCTTTGAAAAAATCGATCATATCTAAAGTCGAATTCCATCTTGTCGGTACATCCATTTTTAATTTTAAAACCGACATCCCCATTTGCTCGAGTTTGATTAAGCTTAGAGAGGGCATGGAAACTTCTTTTAAATAATTCTACGACTGTTCTTATCTTCGTCAATGTCGATTCGATTTATTTAGGTCTTTTTTGTACTATTAAATTAACTGAATGCGCAAAACAGCCCAAATGACGCCAATTACCTTGTTTAATTGCAGCAACAATGTTATGTGCATTGTCAGTAATAACGGCAACAATTTTATTATAAATTCCGCATTCTTCAAATTTGGTTGCAAAAATGTAGATACATTTACAGCAGTATGACGTTCTTTATACGCAATGCAATCTAATAAGTACGAATTTAATAACGTTTTGCTGCCGCTATCGTCTAACCAATGTGGAGTTATTGCGATAAAATTTTTGTTGTTAATTGCTGTCCAACTGTCTGTGGAATTGAAACTACATACGCATTACTGACTTTTCGACTTTTCGCATAACACTTTCTCTAATTTTATTGATCATTTGGGGTAATAAGCTATTTGCTACTGTTTGACGGATTGGCAGAGAATAACCAGGGCATAGCATGTTAATAAGTTTTTTAAATTCTCCGTCTACAACAATCGAATATGGTTGATATTCTTCGACAATCATCCGCAAAAGCTGTTCATCAATTTGCTTCGACTTATTAACTGAAACCGGGTTGAAATTTACTAGGAAATTATCTAGCTGCTGCTGACCTGATCGTAGTTCCTTAGCAGTTGAAGCTTCATTGACGCGGACATCCTTGCCGTCGGTGTTACTGCGTGTGATATCTTGTGCATCTTGCCAGCAGAAATTAGCTTTCTCTCTGTATATTGGAGTACCTAATTAAAAAAATATTTGATATGAAAAAAAATATTTATTTGGATTAATCAGTTTTAACTTACCTACATGCTTGACACGCATATGTCTGCTAAGATTTCCCGTTGACCCTTTAAGTAAATTTAAAATGATAGAACAATAATTGCACTTCGCTTTAGACAGAGATTAATCCGAAATGATTCCAAATCTCACTTTTTTCCTAGTTGCCATTTCTGTTGAACTCAATTAATGTACTAAAACGTTTCTAAATATTTGAGACTTTTGCAACATCTGCAGCCTGTGACATTTTAATCAACTCTCAAGGTAAACAGAAAAATAAAGCCATAAATTTGAATTAGGAAAAAGAATGTAGACAAAGGTACAGCGGTGGGACGCCGGTGGAATCTATTGTACCACCAGGGGGCAAGTGTTTTGGCACTACTACCAATACCGATGCAAAAATATTACCGACTTCTACCGACATCTGGGTGAAACCAGAGACAAGTAATAATTTAAGTAAGTAAGTTATCCCTTGTCTCTGGGTAAAACGAACTGAACGTGTTAACGCCAAATTTTCGTTCAGTTCATTTGCTCAGATCTGGCTTTTGCAAGCCAGATCGTTGAGATGGCTTGAGCGTGTAAATGGGCTTCAGATGTCATTTGAAGAAATTGCGAACATATGTAGGCAATTTGAAGCTTATTTTTACAATGGTGTTTTGGACAAAATTAGTTAATTAAATGCGATATAAACATAAACAAACTTAGCAAAGTCTTTTTGATTCAAGTTAATAAAAAAACTGCCACCATGCCTACCCGGGACTTGAAACGAAATCGAAGCGCCGTCGTTGTTTGAAAATCGACACGCGTCACTATTGCACTTAAAATTACTATTTTTTGCTTTTAGAAATTAATACGTTAATTATGAAGGAATATACATTTACAATAAATAGTTTGCACTTGCACTGTGAAAATTATGAAAATAAAATGTAAACAAGGATTAAACTAGTATTTACTTTCTGTCATTTTATATAATGCAGGTCCTTTTTAACTAATTCAATTGTCGATAACATTTTTGTAATCATGTATATTATAACTTACAATACAACGTATTCTTTTGATAGAAGCAATTAATTACGTACAAGCCTGACCCGTGATTTGTTCTTCTATTGAAATACAACAACTATTATAAAAAAATAAATAATAAAGTAAAACGCAGAAACATGTAATTACCGATGTTTTTTAGAAATTACTAATACATATAAATAGGTATAGGTATGTCTAGATGAAGGAACATAAATATTTAAAAAACAGACTAAGGCTTTCACGGCCGGTCAAATTACATTTAGGAATGTTTTCCGGGCTTTGAAGCCGTGGTCTATCGGAATTTCTTCCTGACGTTTCGTCCACAACTGCGGTGGACATTTTCAAAGGCGATGAGGCAGCGGGCGAAGTGATCTCCCGTCCTTTCCGACTAAGACTGATTCAACTGCTGGATTCCCCGTCGTATTTATGCAGCCCAGCCGTGTGTGCTCATGCGTGAAAGATGGGTGGGGGTTCCAACGCTTCGGCGCACATGCTGTTTGGCGCAAAACGCGCTTCCAATCTGGATTGAGTGCCGTATTCCGATAGACCACGGCTTCAAAGCCCGGAAAACATTCCTAAATGTAATTTAAAAAACACTTGCGTACTGAAGTAGCTTAAATTTTGTTAAAAAGAAACAAACAAAAAAATCTGTCATTATCCTCCATTTGCCCCGTGACCCAATTGCAAATCGTAACTCGATTTTGAAAGTCTGGTCCATACAGTTCTTGTTGGAGTTTGATATGGTATGGATGAAATTTATACCTGTGCAATATGATTATGACTAGAGTTGAGCTCTGGTTTTCAATCTGTGATTTCTTCACAGCGATTAATAAATCGCAACCACAATCTGTGGCGAACGTACGAATAAGCAACAAAAAAATTTTGCGCCCACAATTCGCGAGTTCAAAAGTCCAAACGCCCCCTAGTGACTAAAATTACAACTACACGTTATCTAGTAATTTGACACTTGTTTCGTTGACATTGGTGTCACATTAGTGTTTGTGATTGGTTTTGTTTCGTTCTAATCAACTTCTGCAAGATTTTAAAGAAACGTAAACAGATCGAAAAGTGTGTAAGTATTGTTTTATGTTATAAATGTCATCAATTCCAATAAATAAACAAGTCTGACAAGTCTCAACTGTCACTCGACAACGAGTAATTTGACGTTTTGCAGCGCCACCATCGGTAGTTGAATTCGCGAACAGGGCCGCTTATCTGTAATTCTTTCTGCACTCTCCCAAAATTAACTACATGTCAACTTCCATATTAAAATTATCTTCCAATTACAATTAACTTGAGAAAAAGAGCGTAAAAACGTCAAAATCCTCAATTAACACTCGCAGTTTACGCGTTACCATGAATATGAAAGACAATTTGAAAAACCACTGACTTAAACATGTTTAATTGTATTTAAATTCAATAAAACTTCAATTATCGATAATTTTGTAACTAGATGAGTAGACCATGCAAAAGTTTAAACACATACGCCGGTTTTCATGTAGAATTAAATTTCAGAATAAAAAATACATCATTCCATTTACAATGTCAAAGTTGCTTTGGCTTTCAAAGAAGCGCTTCAGTAGAACAATAACAAAAAAGTTAAGACATGTCCCCCTAATTATCTATTTTTTTTCCAAAATTTGTATGAAATCATTGGAAACTGTTTCTGAAATATAGCCTTTAACACTAAAAAAAAACAAAAAAACGTTGTATAAGTGACAGCTCATAACTGCTTCGTTACGGATTTATAGGGTGTTGAAATTCAATTTAAAAAATGCTAAATTATAGATTTCTTCAAAACGCATGTTATGCAATAAAATAATTTTGTAAAATTTGGTCAGTGGCGTGCATGCCTGCGAGCTATCCAAATTTATAAGTAAAAAGCGGTTAGAATTCTAAAGTAAGATTTGTGTTAGGTGTGCTACATTCAATACATTTAAATGGCAGTAGATATTGGAGTAGATAAAAACTGCTGGCAGTGTCTAGCTAAAATTATTAATTGGTAATCTTTTAGTCCGCGCGTTTTCTCAATCTGTTGCGGATACATAACTCAGAAGCTATCAAAGTAGATAGAAATATTTAAATGTTTTAAAAAGTAGACTCGTTTATCATCTATAAAAAACCACACACTAATCAACTCCTTTTATGATATGACCTCAGCTTTTATCTACTACAATACGAACGGTGGTTTCTATTTAATTTTTGAGCTTTCATTTATATAGCAAACTAACGTTATTTTATGGCCTACAATACGTGGTTAAGATAATGCCCTTTCATTACATGAAACACCTTGTATTTTCCAATTAAAAAGTAAGTAATACACTCTACTATGATGTAATAAAAAAGGCTAATGTTTTTGCAATTAACTTAAATATGCCCTCATAAAAAATAAGGAAAAATGTTGCAACATCCATAATGTTGACTATCCCAATAAGTTATAGACTAAGAAGAGCATAGAGCCTAGTTAACGGCACAAAAAATACATATTTCTCTTGAAAAAAATGATGTGAAAAGAAAAAGTACCAAACTAAGCAACAAGTAATTGGTTTGACCAGATATAAAAACAAATCTAGTTAGGAGGCTTAGATGAGAAATTGTTACCTTGTATTCACCTCTGGGACCACATTGAACATTTGCATCCGATCCTGCATTTAACAACAACTGCAAACACTTCGAATTTTCGCTAATGACGGCTGCATGAAGGGGAGTTCTTCCCCAACTGTCCTGAGAGTTCAGAAATGCATGCTGCCCACCTTCTAGAAGATCTTCAAGTAATTCCGTATTGTCCCATAATGCAGCCTGTATAAAATGTGATAGTTAAAGTATCAGTTAAGCCTAGTCTTCAAATAAGACTGAGAATAGAATTCTTACTTTACAATAAAACTAGAAGAAGATCAGTTTGCAAATTAGAAATTTCCTACAGAAAAAGGCTATCGACCCAATCGGTCTTTCTGCCCGTGTATAGTACATATGCGTCTTAGCCTAGCTTATTCTAAAATTAATTTCAATTCCTAACACTCGTATAAACTAATCAGTGATAAAAAAATTATTGGCTCATTCCAATGCCAATTCGAAATTCAGGGATTCCAACATCATCCCCGGCTTCCTGAAGTGCAAAAGAACCCTTAGGACCACGCAAGCACACATGATATACAACAAGACCAAGAAGTTATTCCTAAGGGAAATGATCCACAACGTGAGAAATAAACTAGCAGCAACAGACAGCAAACTTCTAAACCTCTTCTACAAACTGGGAAACGGTTTGCATTACTCTTACTGGAATAAGATCGACGCCATCTCCTATAACAGCATGCAAGGAGGATTGGACAGAGCCACGAAGAGACAAAAGAAGAAATTTGAAAAATTGGAAGTCAAATCTAGAGTAACAACCCAAACAACATCAGGCTTGGACCCAGCACGAACTGTAGTGAACCTGAGCATTCACTCACTAACGCTTGCGGAGCAATCTGTCTTAGCCAAGGGAGGAAACTTTGCTATTAACCCAAGAACGATACCAATAGAGGAGATTATCTCGAACACCGAAACAGCATTGCTAGGGCTCCCTGAACAAACGGCAAATAAAATTCGTCTGGAAACCACCCAAATCCTACGGAAAGCGAAACCACCACCAAGCAACCTAAGCAGAAAAGAACAACATGCCCTCAAGGAAATACGAAGGAACACAAGCGTTGTCGTCCTGCCAGCTGACAAAGGAAACGCTACAGTCGTCATGAACAGAGAGGAGTATGAGCAGAAAATCCAAAACTTATTGGACCCAGTCACTTACACAAAACTCAAAATAAAACCCGACTCGAGCCAAGTTCAGAAACATCAACCGCCTGATCAAAATATCCGCAATAGGCGAGAACACCATGAAGAGGATTATTAGGTCAGAAGCCCTCCCCCCAGGTTTGTATGGATTACCCAAGATTCACAAGGAAGGAATACCACTAAGTCCTATCGTCAGTGCCCCGAGATCACCAACTTACGATATAGCAAAATATCTATCCTCTCTTCCGCAGCCACACTTGGGGTCCACAGAAACATACACCAAGGATTCCGAACATTTCATTAAGAAGATTCAAGACCTCAGACTGAAACCGACGGACATGCTGGTCAGCTTCGATGTTGTATCTCTATTTACAAAGATACCCTTGGACGAATCCATAGAATTAGTGGCGGAGCTATTTGAAGAGAGTACAACAAATCTGTTCAAGGCTTGTCTAAAGGGCAGCTACTTTCTGTGGAATGAAGATTACTACGAACAAAAGGAAGGAGTAGCCATGGGAAGCACTCAGTCCGGTGGTGGCGGATCTCTTCATGGAGAAGTTTGAGGAAACAGCGTTGAGCACCGCACCCCTTAAACCAACGATCTGGTACCGATATGTAGATTACACGTTCGTGCTATGGAGGCATGGAAGCAAAAACCTGGACATCTTCCTCGACCATCTAAACAAACAGCACCCAGACATCCAATTTACCATGGAAGTTGAACAAAACTACCAACTGGCCTTCCTGGATGTTTTGGTGTCTAGGCAGGGGAATCGTTTAGACCACAAGGTATATCGAAAAGCCACCCACACAGACAGATATCTTCACAAGCTATCTAACCACCATCCGAGTCAGAAGCAGGGAATCATTAAAACTCTCACGGATAGAACCAGAAAAATATTTGGTCCACAACATCTTACTACAGAACTACAGCACCAGGAAAAAGCTTTTCTTCAGAACGGTTATTCCCAGTTGGACATCAAAAAAGCTGTAGGAGTGGGCCGTGCGGAAAAAAGTGAATCCACTCTGAAAGCTTTCCTGCCCTTTGTTCCCAGGGTTACGGACAGAATTGGGAAGCTCCTGAGGAAACGCAACATAAGAACAGTCTACAAGCCCACGGCAAAGATCTGAGAATTTCTAGGGTCGGTTAAAGACAGAAGACCCCCCTCGCAACTGCAGGAATCTACCGGATTCCATGCTCCTATGGAAGCGTCTACATAGGAACTACTAAGAAATCGGTTGCGACGAGAATAGAGGAACACCGACGTAATTGTAAACTGGGACATGTGGCAAAGTCGGCAGTGGCGGAACACGCCCTCAGCGATGGAACACACAACATCTATTTCGGAGAGGCACAGGTCCTGGCCACAACAACAGAGTATCGCCCCTGACTAATACGAGAAGCCATTGAAATCCACAAACACGACGACAATTTGAACAGAAAAGAAGAGACAATGGCGCTAAACAGGATATGGTTTCCAGCACTCACCAACGCAAAAACAGCAAGAAAAAGCAACAGCTCAGGACAGGAGAGAGAATCCTGTACACCGGAGGATAGCAACTGCCAACAGAATGCGCAGGCTCCGATGACGCAGGCCACGTCATCACAAACCACGTCAGCGCAACCGGTGCCTAAATACGGACTGCGCCCGAGGAATCGCATCAGAACAGTGTAAGAATTCAAGCAAACCACCTCTGAAGGTGCAAGCCGCTCGTGCTTGCGAAACGTCATGAAGAAATTCTACCCAATGACGGCCTAAAAACCCGAAAAACCCATTAGTTTCTATTTTATTTATTGTTTGTTCTGTAACCCGTCTAAAAATGGGTATAATCCGACATCAGCCTGATTTCGTTATCGGTAAATTTTGATTTGACCACCATCAGCATTTCTTATTTTCAAAACCTTATTATCAATTGTACATACTTTCCTGACTGTGTTTCAATTCCAAATCAAAATCAATTCCTGGGCTTCAGTCATTTATTGTCTATTTATCAATTAAAATACGTTTCGGTGTTTTCCACCA